AGCCAGGGTCACGCCACGTGCCGCTTCTTGTTCCGACTACGGTTGGAAGAAGACCCGCTGGAAATGCGGAGCTTGCTCTCGCAGTCTCTCCTGCTAAGGGCATCATTGTTCAGCAGAAATAAGGAGCATTACAGTGGAAATATAATGCATTCCACACGCTCGAGGTTGTGCAATGCATGCCAATAAAAGAAATCAGCATTCCATAAACTCTACCCATAAAACTAAACCAATATTCCCCGGACAATACGTTAAGGTTTTGGCTTCCAAACGGTCCGCAGCCACGCGAGCCATGGCTCCCCGTAAAGCCACTGCGCCCATTATGAGCCAGGACAACTGTATTGTACTCATATATGCTGCATGGTCAGTTTTAAATGGATTGGCACGCAGACGTGACGTGCGGAATCGGAATCGGGATGCCGGGATCGATATCGGGATCGGAAACGGGATGTCGGGATCGATATCGGAATTGATATCGAGATCGATATCGGGATCGGAATCGGGATGACGGGATCGATATCGGGGTTGGAATCTGGATGTCGCGATAGACTTGGAATCGGAATCAGGATGTTGGGATAGATATCGGGATCAGAATGGTCGGGATGTCGGGATCGATATACGGGGTCGGGACGGGATGCGCCGGGATCGATATCGGGATCGGGATCGGGATGCCGGGATATAAGATGTCGTCAGGATCCCATTGGATAGAGAAAAAAATCATTATTTTAGGTAAAACTGTACTATAATATGTGAGGCCAGAAGCCAATCATGAAATACGAGGGTGAGATGAGTGCCTCACACTGTCCGCGTTGATTGTGCTCCGGTTGTAATGTCTCCGTATTAGTGTGACAAAGTATGTCATTCGTGTGACCAAACATGGTCTGTTCCCCGAACAAATTACGTTATGTTGATTTCCACTCAAGACAAGGCTTAGTGTTGTTAATGGAGAGGAGAAGCCCTAGATTTTCAGCCATACAATGTGAATATGGAAGTTGTTAGCCAACGGTTGCATGGTTGTCAATGGGGCCTCACGTTTAAATGTCTCACGAATAAGTTTGCTACGACACAATGGTGCTGGCTAGTCCCTGTGTCATAAACATCAAGCCGATGCTTGGTTTAAAAACTTTTCTGTTTAAACCACGTCCTGACGGATACCATATCACTCAAGAAGTCATTCATAACTATGAACATACAAGCTATGAACAATGAACATATCATTGAACTATGAACATGTAAACTGCACACACTCACTAACTGAGCGTCTCACCAATTCACACCCAAAAAAATGTACTGGGTTTGTAGCTCCTGGGTCGGTTTCTCGGTCCAAGGGCTAAGTGACTCAGCTACGCCACACTGGGGCCGCATTTAAGGGAAGTAGGCAATTACCCATCCTCCCGCAAGGGTACGAGCCACGCCTTATCTTGACCGCAAGAAAGAGAGAAATCGGATCCAGCGAAGCTCCAGCAAGCTCACGTGGGTGGTAAGGAAGCGAGGCTAGAGCCCTCAAACGTTTCGGTGCAAGTTGCTCAAACAGGCTGCACTTACTTTTTGAGTACAGCAAAGTATATATACATACATACATACATACATGCATATATATATATATATATATATATATATATATATATATACATATATACATATGTAATAGACAAGGAAATGGACGTAGTTACACAGTTAAACACTACTTCTCTGCCCGCAAACAGGACAATTTAGAAAACACAAATATTAATAGGACAGATCCTAGTTCACAGCACAGGAATTCTGTCATCGGCCCCGGCTGCCCACAATGAATGCATCTGAGCTCATGCTGTCGGTGCACCAGCACTTTTATCATTCAGCAAGTGACCCAAGTGTTGATGTCCGAGGGGATTGATGGATGAGATGACGAGGAAGGAGAACGAGTATTAAACGAGTAGTAACGAGCATAGAAACGAGTATTTCAGTGTTCCTAGAGAGTTTTTTAAGTTGTTTTCAGTGCTTTAAACATACTGGGGGACAAAGCAGGGAAAATGGGTAAAACAGCCGCCAACGAATGCCGAAGTGACTTTCTCTTAGCATGTTGCCTAATCCCTCTCAATGTTGGGAACTGGAGCCCTTTCCGCAACTGATAGGACGCTACACCCCTAATACAAGGCCAAATTTACGTTACGACCGGGCTGTTGCGCAACCTGTCTCACTTTCCACAACACTGTCTCATTTACATATCACAAGGAAAAACCCAACTGGTGTCAACAGGGATGCCCTTCGCCCTGTCCACCGCTCCGCCCACCCGTCTCACGTTCACCTCTGTCACCTCTCTGACCCGTTCCGGTAGCTTCCCGGCCATCTCTCCACCTGAACACTGTTTAAAACGTGCTTTGGATAGTCGTTTACCGAGAAAATCGGTGTTGGGTGGTACCGGTGTTTGGCTATTAAACGTAAGAGCATTCACCGTTGTATTTCCACAAAGGCATTCTCGAGGCACTTTCGCCCTGGAATTTGTACCACTGGACTGGAAATTGCAGTCAACCTCCTTACCATGGCGCACAACCGGAACCGGTTGAAAATCTTGGGTGAACAGGACATAATGATGAGAACTGCCAAATATTTGCCTAAGATCAAAGAGTCAGTTTGCCGATAAAATTACCCTGCAGAGGGTCGTCGGCACGTAACCCCCGCCCCCATACAGCACGTGCAGTCCTCCCGGCGCCATACCGCCATCTCAGTGCTGCAGACACAGCGCCATCCTCCGAGGACCGTTTCCGGCGGGGGCGACGGCGCGGCGCGCCCGCCACGTTCCAGTTGGCGCAGCCGCCACCCTCGGCTCCCCCTCTCCCATTAGCGGCGGTAATCGCGCGGCGGCGCCTCGGCTGCGCCCCAGACCGCGAGTGGGCCGAGCTGGCCGGCCGCGCGCCTCCGCGATATAGGTCACTGGTGGCCGCCGCCCGCCGCCCGCCGCCGCCCGGCACCGTTAGCCGCCGGCGGCGCCGCGGACCCGGAGACTGCGCGCGCGCTCCGCGCCGACAGGAAGATAACACCAGAACGTCGCGCGGCGACAGCGAGAGAGCACGGCAGCCCGGGACCGGCCAGCGGGACGGCGGCGCGGCGGTGCTACTCAGAGGGTGACGACGTGGGCCGGAGACTGCGACGCTCGGCGAGGATGAGGCCCCTCTGTCTGGTGAGTGTCGACCGTCTCTGCTGTCGTGCTGTCGGTGCATTCGGGGTAATCTGTGCCGTCCGGGCAGTTTGGTAATCGGTTGCAGGGTGTTTTTTTCGGTCTGACATGTGACTGCGTCTCTTGTTTGCATTGGAGCGGCTGTTTCGGATACAGCCACCGCTCCCTAAAGTCACGTCACAAACGCACCGTGCTGCACAACACACTACTCGCAGCCGTCACTCCTCTTCCCACAGTCACGCGTTGCCCACTTACAGCTGGGGTCGCGATACGAGCTCGGCAACGCGTTCTTCCCACAAAGTTCCGGCGATTCAAATTATTCCGTAGCCTCGAAATTTTGCAGCCGCGTTACTTCACCAAAACGGCCGGCAGGCCATGTCATGGCGACGAGCATGTCAAAGCAACGAGCATATTTGACAGATCAGTGATCGTGGGCTTAAAATCAATTGGTGGACGGATTCCATGGCTACGGCTACCATATGACCCACTTCAGTGAGTATGTTTGGAGGCGTATCGGAATTTGTGGGCAATTCCTCTGTACCAAAGCATCAGCATGCTGAGCAGGTGGTATGCAAGGAATTGGCCAAGCCATCGATCTTACATTAGAGCATGTCTGGCAAGATTATTATCATTCCACAAAACTTTCCACGTTATAAGCACACTGCAAAAGCGGATCACGCAGTTTGCGTTTTTGTGCCAGACGCCATATGCAGATGCATGATATTAAGTACAAGCCTTCACAAAAAAGTTCTCTGGTATGAATGTTTGAGAACGTTTGATAATATCTGGCCAAAACTATGTGGAAGGTAAAATTTGGACGTGATTTCAAAGTACTAGATTGTGTCAACTTTTCAACAATTTAGTGCCATCAACTTTCCTGGAAGCGATTAATCTACACCTTATAATCTTAGTTATCTAAAAGAACGGCTGTTCTGTGGGGATCCACCAGTTGCTTAGCTCAACTCTTCAGCGACATACTTTCTCAGGTAACCATTACTATATGATGGAGATCGATTGCAAAGGTCCTCCCACACAGCAAGCGATCCTTTCCAGCGTCTCTCATCGGAAAGGCTCTGTGTCTGTGAAGGAATTGCCCGGTAGTTTACGCTGCCGACCACATCCACACCGCAACCTAGATCTAATGTAGTGTAAGCTCAACCAACACCCCCATATAGATAACACAGTAGTAGTAGCCTTATTCCTCGCAGAAAAGCCAAGACAATTGAGATATAGATGCGTTAATATCTCGGCAACACGCCCTCATCGAAACGAATAACGCTTCTACCATTCGCTTCGACGAAGGCATGTTGCTGAAATATCAACGCATCCATATCTCCATTTTGCTGCTTTTTTTATCTCCGAGGAGTAAGGCTATTACCACTGTTTTATCTATGTGCATAATATTACTCGCAAATGCGTTTAACAACTTACATCACCCCGATATGCCGCCATCCGCAATTCTGTTTCAAAAACGCCCAAAAAGTGCAACAATGCTTGATTTGCTTTTAAGTAAGGCGCTTCAGTGGATATGGTGAGCGCAAATGTTGCGTTACTTAGGACGTTTTTGGAGAAAAAAAAACGCCTTCAGCCATTGGCTATTCCAGGACCGATGGGGCACGCGATAGCGGTCCGGACGCGAGTCCACAGTTATCTCGGCCACAATAGTCTTCGACAGCAGCCGATGAATGGGAGGAAACAATATTCCGAGATTGACAGATTGCTTGGCCTATATCAAGCTATCTACTCATCATTAGTAACGGGCCTCCCAAACAACCCCCCCCCCCTCCCCCCTCCCCGCTAGGCCACGCGTCTTCGCATTACCCGAATAGCCCAAATATTTCAAGTGGTTGATGTACTCGTCTATTGCTGCTAGAAAATTTCTGTAACCAACTAGACGACTTCTCTTCAATGGAGCACAACGCCTATGATACAGTGCAAGCGAGATAATGGTACTGCATCTCAAACGCTGCACGTCAATGACGCTATGCGCTGGAGCTGCAGTTGTTAACTTAGTATTGTTTAATATTTAGCATTCTTATTTAGTATTGCTATTACGTGGCTATTTTGCATCCGTTTTATACGCATTATAATCTTATGCGTTACACCGGTACATGATGACGAATACCTGCAACATATTTTAAAATACACCGGCGTACTCGTCAGAGAGGAGGCCTACCGGGGTAAGCCTTTGGAATTACTGGCTTTCACACCGGAGCACCGGCATCCATTGAGCGTCCACACGGGAGCACCGGCATCCATTGACCGTCCACACCGGAACACCGGCACCCATTGATCGTCCATACGGGAACACCGGCATCCATTGAGCGTCCACACCGGAACACCGGCACCCATTGAGCGTCCACACGGGAACACCGGCATCCATCGACCGTTCACACGGGAACACCGGCACCCCTTGATCGTCCACACCGGAACGCCGGCACCCATTGAGCGTCTACACCGGAACACCGTCACCCATTGATCGTTGTACGGTGTGAGTGACTTGTTGCCGTGACGTCACGCGAGCCTGCGCGGAGCATTGCCGTGACGTCACGCCAGCCTGCGTGACGTCACGCCAGCCTGCGTGACGCGTTCGATGAGTCACCCCGATCACGTGACCCAGTTGTGACAGCCGGAGCTGATGCCCGGACGTGTCCGGCTTCCTCCACCCCAGCTGAGTCACAGTTTTCTCCGGCGACTGGAAGCGGAGACGCATCGATGCTCTCGCGTGGCGCGTCTGGGAGCGGGCCCCTGAAGAGTCACTGCTCCGTAAAACGGCGAAAACGGAACGGTGTCATGATGCGCGTCGGCGCGGATGGGCCCCGGGCCGACGGTCATCGCCTGTGATACTGACCGATGATCTTGTAAACCCATGGCATGCTAGTTACGGGGCGCTGACATTGAGTCCTGATGATGAACGATTATTGGTGAGCTCGTTGGGTTTCATGCAGGTATTTATCTATTTTACAGGTCACACATCCCACTGGCTATTGAATCGGTCATCGTCGTTGATTCCTTGCTTGCAAAGCTAACACAGAATCAAAGATGGTTGGCATTTTACGAGGTAATTCGCTATCATTTGAATACATAAAGCTTGCGCTATTCACAAGTGTCTGAGATAGCAGGTGGAAGTGCACTCCAAACTATCGGAGGAATGGGAATATCACCATGTGTTTCTAACCAAGGGCGGCAACACTACACATTTTAACCCATTCCTGTAGTAGGATTGATTGCCAAGTCGAGACGATCTTTGTTTCCTTGCACAAAGCCGCAGTCAAACTACAAGACCCGTCATCAAAGCTCGTGGGTAACCTTACTCTTCGGGGTAGGAGCTATTTGCCACATTGCGTTTGGGTATATCAAATCAATTCACAAATTAGCCGCCTTACACAGTGAAGGCGGCTTACGCTTGTAATGATGTGTGCTCTAGAAGCGGTTGTTTTGGTGAACGCTTCATGGGCCTATATTTCATGGGTTTCTACCATTTCTAGTGCCGTATGACAAACAAAGTTGCATTACATGGTTTCACCTAACGATACCCATAAGGATCAAGCAAATGATGTTATGTACAGCAGATAGAAACGGATTGCCTGTGCAGTCGCGACGGCTCACATGTCCTTGCACAGGGTCGCTGGCTGAGCGCAGAGAATCGTTTGCTGCAGAGACTCAGTGAGCAAGCTGCCGTGTGAGGCTAGAAAGATGCTTTTTGCACCCGAATCTCAACTTAACTGACAAATAATCAGCTCAAAATCAAATTCCATCTCCCTGAAAACTTCTCTGCAGAGTAGGTTTACCTCTACATATAATGCACGCTACTCGGGTTCACGCTCAAGTACTTGACGTCATTGATGATGATGACTTGCCAAGCACTTGCTGATGCTTACGTACCACATGTTTATACCGCTCGGTGGGTGTAGTGATTCAGTACTCGAATACATTTTCACGATGTTGAAAATTCAATAACTTGCCGTGTAGTCCAAAATGTGTTTTAGAATGTCATCCAACCGTCGCTGGATATTTGATATTCACAACAGCTGATCATTCCGTAACAGTCGGACGAGCCTGTCCGCTCCATTTCCGTGACTTACGAACCCACTGCTGCCTTGCGGGAGGCAGTACTGAATGCTTCGCTCAAAGGCTTTTGGTACGGTGACAGATCGTTCACTCCGCCCTCTTGATAGTTCACGCCGCCCTATTGATCGTTCACTCCGCCCTATTGATACACAGCCTGACAAACGCCAGTGGGTGCTGGTTCGCGTGGCGTGACTCGCGTGAGTTGCTGCCGTCTGAAACTATGGGAATATGGTTGCGGCGCCGGCGGTAGTTCATGGGCCCACGGACAGATCGTCTGAACCATTTGGTGGTCACGTAACCGGTGCAGCGGAGTTTCGACGCCGATGATCATCCAGGGATTCCAAAAGCGGGGATGTCCGACCTTTGTTGCGATCATCTACGTCACTGCTATGCGTTTGCGAGCTGTATAACTTGGCCGATTGAGAAAGCTCTCTGCCATCAGCCGTCCGGTGCCTTCAGCGGGTGAGACGTGACCTTGGCGTGCGCCACTGAGCGACGCTGACCCGAAAGGTCAGCTCCTCACGAAACCTTTTGAACTTGGCTTAGGTAACGGGTGGCCCAGGCGTAGATATGCTCTGCTGCAGACTGAAATGCTGTGCAGGACACGGCGAAAGATGCGGTCCTCTATCACGAGCTTATTCTTGTAATAACTACATCTGGCTTGTTTCTTACATTAATTTTCTGCTACTTGAACTGTTTACAACGGTTCCGGATGGGCGTTATGGCCGAGTGGTTAGCACCATGGATTCCCATGTGCGGTTCCATGGCGGCGGGCTCGGTTATGAGCTCACCGCTAGTGTGTCCAGGACCGTGTCACCAGCCTGAGAACGTTGCCAGCGGAGCCTGTGGCGAGCCAGACGTCGCCGCCGCCGGCACTCTCGATTTCAGCAGACATGCGTGACTCAGGCGGCCGGTGGCCGTCTGACCACCGACCGGTGGTTTAAATGGGGCTTAGATACAGCTTAACACGAGTGCAAACGTGCCTACATCATGCGATGACAGCATAACAATAAACCAGGATGAGTTCCACGCAAGTCAGTTGCCATGCGCCGACAAAATTCGTCTTTTCTTATGAATCAATGGCTACAGCATTCTGAACAGTCTTTCTTGCGAGTGCGATGATTGTTAAATCGCGAAAGTCTATCTTTGTTTGCGCTCCTCCGGCAATATGTTTATCGCTGTTCCTGTGGATTTGCTAACGCGCGCCCGCGTGGTTGGTCAATTATGAAGTGCTTGGGTGGGGAAAAGAGAAGGATTAATTTAATGCCGTTTATAGGTCAAATGCTAAAACTAGAGCAAAAGGTTTCACAGAGGAGGTGGGACCATCTGTAAGCTCATTTGTACATACAATCTAGGTTTCAGGTCATGACCATTCAAATAAATTGCAGTTAAGAAGATCGACCCCGGGATAAGTGTCCGAAGTGACCTTAAACTTCCTTACGAAGCTAGTTTGACCCTAAATACGTTTCCTAAGCAAAAGGCTACTCCAGATCATATCTGGTGAGCGACAATCTGGCCTTTAAACGGCTAGAATTACTCAAAAATCAAGAGATCATGTGGATATTCTAACTTAAAGTTGCTGTCCAGAATCATCTGCGGTGGCAAGTTTCTCAAACCAACAGGCTAATCAAAGTGGTTTTTGGTCAGTGACGTCCCCTGCCCTTCACGAAATGAACTTAAAAAGGTGTTGACGGCCTTGCAAGAGAGAATCAAGAGACTAGACAAATGCGTCAAAACTACCTTATGAAGCTTTCCAGCGAACTTTCCAGCAAAAACGGTTGGATTTTGACCTTAGTGTGACCTTCATACCTAAACCAATGTGAAGAGAAATGGCTGTAATCCTAATTCAAATGTCTTATCGCCTGAGTAATTGTCTTAAAGCTGTGTTACTCTGTTTTACCCTCAGTTGTATCACATCCGCTTGACAGATTGCGTAAGAAAATCCTTTGTTGACATCCATGGCCTAACATTGACATGCTATAGGTCAGGGTGTACACGTATACGTGTAAAACAAGAAATGGGTCCACCGACGTCTAATGCCTTCGGCCCATGTCCATGGTTGATTGCCAGTCCTAGCATTTTCCTAGAATTTAGGTGAGCTTAACACATGGGCTGAAGAAATGGCTGCAAGGCGTCTCATTCAATATCCCAAGCTTACTCTTGTCGGATACATGTGGTTTAACTCTTGCATGCTAATGGAACCGCATGCAAGCAATCTTAGCGTTGTCAGCGTGTTAATGTGCAATACAACTCCAGAGAAACATTTCTAAATTTTTTTTTTTAAAAACCTTTCAGTGCATGTACCCATCGCGAAAACAGCTGCTATCAATATCATCAGATATCATGATCAAATTTGCTATCATCATCACATGTTATCATAATCAATAACACATAAGCTTCATATGGTAAGTCATTCCTCAACATCAAAACAAGTTTGGCACCGACCAAAAACTACTACACTAATTTCAACATCAAATGCGCAAATCAAAGCGGCCGAAATCCGGGAATAAAACATGATTTGGAGGTAGGTTAGGTCAACTTTATTTTGCTAGCCGCCTGAATCGATTTTCAAAAGTGCCAACATGATAACAAACACGGTATTACAATTAATGGCAATACAATGGCAGTAACACTTAAGCACCAACACAGGTTAGCAGGTCAGACCAGTGGAAATTAAGTTTAGAGGGAATTAATTCTGAATCTAAAGAAAATAAAGACAATGGGGCTGAAGCCAATTCCGACTCCAGCGCTCTTAGACCTGCTATATGTGGTTCCGAGTCTGACACATTATCCTGATCATTGCAACAAATCAGTTAGTGCATATATATATATATATATATATATATATATATATGTATATGTTACGCAAATTTGAAGGCCAGTACAGGCATAGGACAATAGGGCAAGCTAACCTTCATTCCAAACCGTAAAACTGTTCATGCATTTGCACCTCCAACCTCACCAATCATTAAAGTGGCCGTTTCTCGCTGGATAGCCAATCGAAGATGCATGTGTACGGCAAGGCATGATGGCATGCCATTGTGAGGAGCCGGCCGCAGCGGCGCCAGAGGTCGCGCGGTGACTGGCGGTCCTAACGCGGATCTCTGGCGCTCCACTATTCGGGTCAAGCCTGCATACCGGATGCCCGCGAATGTACAGCCGCCCCTCTCACATTCCGGGTTATGTAACGGTGACATTGCTCAGTCACGAAGCCCGGCAGAGCTTCCGACTCGGGTGGTAATTGATAGGCCTCTCGCTAGTGGGGGACGAGATGAGGCTGCCTCTCGCTAGTGGAGGATGACCTAAGGCTGCCTCTTGCCAGTGGAGGATGGCCTGAGGCCGCCTCCCGCTAGTGGACGATGACCTGAGGCTGCCTCCCGCTGGTGGAGGATGACCTAAGGCTGCCTCTTGCCAGTGGAGGATGACCTGAGGCTGCCTCCCGCTAGTGGAGGATGACCTGAGGCTGCCTCCCGCTGGTGGAGGATGGCCTGAGGCCGCCTCCCGCTGGTGGAGGATGACCTGAGGCTGTCCCCCGCTAGTGGAGGATGGCCTGAGGCCGCCTCCCGCTGGTGGAGGATGACCTGAGGCTGCCTCCCGCCAGTGGCAGTGACTGTGATAGCCACAACATCTTCGGGCAGAATCGCTCATTCGCTCAAAACGCAAGTCCACCATTTTTCGTCCGCTTAATGTCTTTTTTCACGGCGCTGTGGCCTGTCTTCCGCTCAGCGCTCTCTCTGGCCCGGTGTAAGCATGTCTGAATGGCCGTGCAGGGCCAGCTGGTCGGCGGCTGAGGTGGCCGGCCATGTGGGCCGCCCGGCTGGCTCAGTCCGGGCGCTCTCTTCCCAGCGGGCCGGCCTCCAGATCGCCCGGCCGACAGCTGATAATGATCGGATCGGCGGCCGGTTACTGACCCGACCAGCGGCGGCGGCCGGGGTCACCGGGTCACCAGGAGCTGCGCCCGGACGCCACTGCCGGCGGCGTTTTTGCTGCCGCCTTGCCCCCGGGCACCGGCCAGGACGGCGAGGTGCGCGCGGCGCTCTGTGTTTTGTTGCCGCGGCGCTGTTGATGAGGTGACGGAGGAAATGTGTGTCAAGAGAGCAGTGAGGAATGGAGTGGGAGAGTGACGGAGAAGATGGATGGAAGGAAGAAAGTGAGAGCAATGGATAGCGGTAGCAGTCAGAGCGATGGAGGACGTATAAGGGAAAGGAGGGGATTGGAAGGGAGTGAGGGATTCAGACAGAGTTTGAACAGACGGAAAAGGCTTGGATGTCCTTGACTCGAGCTTTGATGGCGCTAACGGCTTTGTAATGGAGGCTGTTAATCCAGGACACTGACTGTCATCGAGCATGCCAAAAACACAGAAAAGTAGCATGAGAAAAAGGCGTGAAAAACTGGAACAAGGTGAGGAAATACAAGAAGAAAATATTAAGAGTAACAGATGGGCGGGGAGGAGATATTTAGTTCACAGGACTCAAACTGCAGGTTGAGCGACTTACCCCGACACAAATATTAAAACTGGCAGATAACCGCACGCCAAAAACCCTTGCATTCCATCAAAGACCTATGCGACCGGAATAAGGAGAAGGGTGAAATAATTCTCATTTCTCGGTCAAAAATCCTATGCTATTTTGTGCCTACGCAGCAAAATCCACGCTGGTTTTCAGCACTGCACTATGACGTCCCACCTGCCTTGCTGCAGGTGCTGGGGGCTCTGATCTCAGCTGGGCCTTCCCTGGCCGCGGTCGTGGTTCCGGATCTTCACGATACGCTGCTGCCGCCACCTATCAACGACCCGAACAACCACGACCAAGATGACGTCATGCGCACCTTGACGGTGCGATGGCCACAAAAGGCGGGATCGGTGGCAGCTCGCGTGGTGGAGATCACTGATGACATCACGGCAGAGCTGCCAGATGAGGAGACTAACCGGGTATCACGCCAGCTGGACAAGAGACCTGGCATACTCAGCGACCAGCCGGGACAGGTGAGAACTTGAGGACTATCAGAACGGCTAATGATAAGGTCAACCCTGTGTACGCTCCCAAGTAGGCAAGGGTGTTGCGAAACAGTAAGCTTAAACAGGCGTTAGCACGCGCCTGGATGGTTAGTTAAATACCATTCGCTTGTGTGGGGAGGGGAGACTAAATTTGACTTCTGAGATCTCAGAAGCAAACAGAACTAGGTAACTAAAATATCCGTGTGAGTTGGCCAGTATGTAAACTCACTGACGTCAAAATTTGAGGCTCCCAGGTCATGACCTTGAGGCAACATAAGTTCAAACAAGATCATACTCCAGACTGCGGGCCAAAGTACTCCCAGACGTCCTCGTGCAGCCGCCTTGAACCTAAATGCCATTTCTAAGGAAAAGGCGACTTTGTTCATTTGATATCTGTGACGGCACTTATTTTCAATAAATTCGAAATAAGAACAAGAAACCACCCAACCAAGCAAAATCCCAAGTTAAAAACAAATTGGTTTTGACCTCGGACTGACTTTTGCACTTGACCTAGATCAATGAAATATGCTGTAAGCCGGAATATGATTGTTTTATTGCCTGCGAAACTATCTCAGAGATGTATTTCTTCTTCAAACACTCTTGTCGCATCCGATTGAGTGATTCTCTAAAGACTGCCTTCAGTCACAGCTACGGCATGACTTTGACCTACCATAGGTCGGTGACCTTGCAAGGCACATATCACTGTCTAATACCACAAGACCACTGTTCAGTTGCTTATTATATTCATAGTTTGGCGCTGGCACATCCCACCAATCAAAAATTACTATGCAAAAACCTTCGGGAGGGGAGAGAAGAGTTTAAATCTACCTCCACCCACGCGCGTGTTAAAGTGTGGCCATGGCAAGAATTCGGAAGCGCCTAAGCCACAAAATTATGGTCTAAAGAAGCCTCACACAGGTAAGTTCAACACAGATAATGTGGGCTTTCGGCAGATTGCCGACATCAGGTTGCACCAAACACGTATCGCATCCTTCCAAGCAACTCCTGCCGCTGGCCGCGTGTGCCGCCCCTGAGCTTGGTCGGTGAGGTCCGGGCCGAACCGCGGCGCCCCTGAGCTTAGTCGGTGAGGTCCAAGTTGAGCCGCGACGCTCCTGAGCTTAGTCGGTGAGGTCCAAGTTGAGCCGCGACGCTCCTGAGCTTAGTCGGTGAGGTCCAAGTTGAGCCGCGACGCTCCTGAGCTTAGTCGGTGAGGTCCAAATTGAGCCGCGACGCTCCTGAGGCTCGTCGGTGAGCTTCAGGCCGAGCCGCGAGGCTCCTGAGGCTCGTCGGTGAGCTCTGCGCCGAGCCGCGACATTCCTGAGGTTCGTTGGTGAGCTCCGGACCGAGCCGCGACGCTCCTGAGGTTCGTCGGTGAGCTCCGCCGGACCGAGCCGCAACGCTGACGACAGACCTGCCGACCGCAATTCTCACGGCAATTGGCGGACCTTCCCACGTGTCGGCCGGCCCTCCCCGGCGTGGCGATACGTCCCCGTCCACAGCGATACGTCCCCGTCCACAGTCGCGGACCACAGCCGCCGGGCCGACGCCGCAAACCAGCCGCCGGTCTGCGCGCCGGCGCCACAAGCGCCAGCCCGGTCCGCTGGGGAGGGAGGGCCTGAGCTCGGGGCCGTAACAGGGGCCGGCGTCAGTCCCCTCCCACACCCAGACGCACACAACTGCTCGGTGGGGAGGGAGGGCCGGAGCCCGGGGCCGCAACACGGGTCGGTGTCGGTCTCCTACACCCAGACACACAAAACTGCTCGGTGGGGAGGGAGGGGTGGGTCTGGGTCCGTAACACGGCCCGACGTCAGTATCCTCCCACACCCAGACGCACACAACTGCTCGGTGAGGAGGGAGGGGTGGGTCTGGGTCCGTAACGCAGGCCAGTGTCAGTTCCCTTTGACACCCAGACACACGCAACTACCCGGTGGGGGGGGGGGGGGGGGAGAGGTGGGGCCCGGGGCCATAACATGGGCTGATGTCAGTCCCCCTCACGGGGAGACGGAATAGGCTCGTAGTGGACCGAAACGGAAGGAACAGGCGGTAAGCTGGCTTCACCGGGCTCGCTTTCGGAACATGGCTACCGGGAGATATGTTATATATTTACTATGTTAATGATATATTTATATATGATATATTATAATATGTATTTATGTTTTCATTTTTTTGTATGTATTTATACATCACATTTATATGTTATAGATATGCATGATATATATTTACCGAGGTGTATGCTTCGTTACGACGCCAGTGCCAGTTCTAGGGATCAGGCAGCAAAAAATGCCCCTTTCTCCATGACACTTGGTACCGAAGCTCTGGCAAAGTGCTGGGATTGGGGCGAGATTAGCGAACCACCGCTCGTGCACGGTTAACGTTGACTGGCTGAATAACAAAGCGTTTAAATGTTTCTTTTTTCCACAAAGTTTCCTCAATAGTCTTTGGCTGCGTTCTTTCCCGAACTTGCACTGAATCCCGATTCACTGCATGATTTTGCTTGCATTCAATGTGCAAATTCACGTGGCGCCCATGATGATTAGCGTCCCTTGGGCGAGCAATACCACAAAAACTTGAACTTCTCGTCCATCGGTGCGCCCGATGACCTCTGGTGGCATTACAGTCGGGCCGAGCGGTTGAACAGTCACCCATCGAGCGGTACGACGGACCCGTCAGCGAACGGTACCAGGAGCACGGGGTACGTACCCGACAATCTGATCGCCCGACGTCGAAGGCGCTAGACCCTTTGTAAGCATCAGCTCTGATTTGCGCCGATTTGTCCACGTGATTTACGTTGTAATATCGATATGCGTTTACATGTCGTTTCAAATCGCTAAGTTATCGCTAATCGCTGAAATAAGATACCGTTATGGCAGGTCGCATACCACGCGCTCCTTGGCGGAGGATGTGTGGTCGTGCCATTTCTTTCCTCGTGTCTTTGACGCCACTTCTGTGTGTGGGCAGGGCTCGTCAGAGAACGAGTTCACCCCCGAGGGCATAGAGGAGGTGCGTTACAGCCGACCACAGGCTCCTGACCTCAGTGACCCTCAGCAGGAGGTCACCGAGTACAACCCGTACCAGCTGTTCCCGCAGAGTGAGTGCATTTTAGCGAAAGCCCGTTCGTAGGTGCACGCGAGATAGGTGGACAAATCGCTTGAAATGTACCATTTCACACGTTGTTGTCTGTTTTCGCTCCGCTTTTGCGTTTTAAATTAACATGTGCTGCCATTTGCTATGTTAAATATCTCTCGATCTTGATATTCTGCGGCATTTAATTGCGCGCTTTTCTGCAGCCATCCAGTATGTTTAAGTGCTATCAGCTTTGCCGTGTACACTCGTAGCCAGGGTTCCATAAAAACCCACGCCGTGCTCCACGAACGGTCAGATGACTTCCCATCCTCCATTTCAGGTTTCCACGAGCTGCTCGACATCCCAATTCACGTGTTCAAGAACGGCACGGAGGTGCGCAGCCACCAGAGGCCCCGAGGCCCCACAGTCAGCGGAGGGTACGCCAACACCAACCTACAGGGCTATGGTGCCGAGCAGACGTCCGCCGTCCAACGACGCTCAACCACCACAGCCACCACCACCACCACCACCACCACCACCACCACCACTACTGCAGCACCGACCACCAGACGGCGCACCCGGCGCCCGCTCGTCACCGACGGCGTGCAGTACGTCACCACCACGCCGCGCGCCAAGATCGTGACGCCCGGCAGTGGCCAGTTCGGCTCACGCGTGACGGCCGACTCGCGGCGTCCGGTCACCGTCCGGCCATCTCACCAGCATGGCAGCTTCGCTTCGCACGGCTTCGGCACAGACCAATCAGACGACCACTTCGGCGGCCATGACCTTGGCTCCGCGCCCTTCGACCAATCAGAGGACGAGCCGGCAGTGACGCGTGCGCCGCTGCACCAACAGCTGGCGTTCCGGCGACGACCGGGCGGTTTGAAAACTCGCAAGCGCGTGCCGTTCATTCCCCGGCCATCTTCTGCTGAGAAAGAGCGACAGCCAGTTCGAGATATCCCGAACAGAGAAGAAGAGGACGACGATCTGTATACCGACGCTTTTTCACACGACTTCCCCGCCTTCCCGAACTTTGAGACCAACTTTGGCGATTTTGGCCGTCGTAAGGACACGCCTCCCGCTACGACAACGACCACCACCAGGCGCCCGACCGAGGTCACCAGAGAGGTGTATCACGTGACACCCAGCGCAGTGGAGCCCCAGTCGTGGCGGGACACAGTGACGCCGCGGCCTGCACCGGTCGAGAACAAGGACAAGAGGCACGGCTCGCCGAAGAAGCCCATATTCCGGAAACCGCTTCCGGAGCCGCAGCTGGTCGGGGGCTTCCAGAAGCCTTTCCGTCTCACTCCAGAGACGGCCCTCGAGGAGGAGTCTCATGCTGAGGAAGGTGAGAAGCAACAGGAAGGTCTGTTCTCTCCGGAGAACCAGGCCCCGTCGCCGCAGAATCAGAAGCCATTCTTCCAGCAGCAGCAGCAGCAGCAGTCGCTTTCTCACGCCGAGCAGCAAGAGCAGCAAACATCATCTCACCATCGTAGTCCTGCTCCGCACCAACAGCAGCAATTCCAGCCCCAGGAGCCGTTCCAGCCCCAGGAGCCGTTCCAGCCCGTCTTCCCGAACAGCGGGCAGGCCGGACGCCTCGATCCGCGTAACGGGAGGGGCCGAACCTGCAGTCGGGCCCCGGTGCCGGCCATCCAGCAGCTGCCCGGCCCAGCTTCGGCCGGCCCGCCGCCAGGCGCCGCCTCTCGACCGTTCGGAGGCCCACAGCGTCCGACGTCGGACAACAGGCCGGGTCTGCTGCCAGGGGGCAGGGCAGGTCGGCACAGGGAGGCAGGCCGGGCCAAGCCACAGGCAGGCAGGCCGGTACAGCCGCGCAGATGGCAGGCCGGGCACGCGTCCACCGCCGTCCTCCGCCCACCAAGAAGCCGTCGTCTGGTGGCTACCTGGGCAGTTTGCTGAGCTGGTTCCGCGGTGGCGAGGAGGAGCAGAGGCCGCAGGTGGCGGCCACCAGTCCGGCCTCGTCCGCCAGGCCCGCGGCAGGGCGCGGCGCCGGTCCGGCCACTAGAGGGCCGACCGAGGCCCGGCGACCGCAGGCTCCCGCGCCGCCCGGCGCCGACCGGAGAGCGCCGTCAGAAATAGGGGTGCAGTGGCCCCCCAGGGATTCCCCGAGGGGTTCGGCGGCGGGCCGAGCCGGCCCTTCTCGCCGTCGCGCCGCCTCGCTGAGCGGGTCAGCGCCGCCTCCTCCGCCGCGCCTGCTGCCGGCTCTCGACCAGCAGCGATCACCGGGCCTGGTGGCGCGCCGGTGGCAGCTTCGTCCGCCAAGACCCGCTGCCGGCCGGCTCCGAGGCAGCCAAGACGGCCGTCGAGGCACCCGCGCCCGAAGCTCAACATCCTGCCGCAGTTTCAGGCCGAATGCTGCCGGCGCGGCGCCGCCGCGGCCATCGCAGCGGCGCCGGGGACAGACGGAGCCGACCCGCCGCCGCGGCGCGCCCGAGGTACAGCGGCGTCGCGGCTCCGGTGAGCTCGGCAAGCTCAGCACCCTACAGATGCTGCACCCCAAGCTCTCCAAGCCGAGCGTGGCGCAGGTGCTCCGTGTTCCCGAGGGCGGCGGGTACCTGCTCGCCGAGCCTCAGCGGCGGCGACCGCAGCGCCCTCTGCGCCCAGCGCCCGGCCGCCCCAGCAGCTGCCGCCGCGTAACCGGACGGGACTGCGGCCACCGCCGCTGCGTCGCGTCGGCGGCGGCAGGCGTCCGGTGCCGGAGCCGACGCGGGCTGACGATGCGAGCCACGCCGACGGTGCGGGCCCGACCACCCTGCTCAACGAGAAGCGGAATCATGGTGGTGGGCCCGTTCGAGGAGCCGCCGCCCGGCGCGCCGTACATCCCGCACCCCGAGGAACATGTCGAGCGTGGTGTCGTCCACGGCGCGCGCACCGTACATCGGCGGCGCGTGCGAAGGCGCCGGTGGAGGCGGCGCTGCAGCAGCAAAAGCCGGAGAGAGCGGAGAGAGGGCGGAGGAAGGGCGGGCTCCTGGCGCGGCTGGTTTCGGGGGGGAGCGTAAGGCAAGCGACGCGGTGGAACGCGCTGAGCGTCCCTTGCTGTCGAGGGATGACACCACGGAGCAAGTCGGCAGCCCGTGACGAGCAAACAAGTAGTCGTGGGTGGGTCAAGCCACGACGGCAGAGCCCACTACCGGAAGGTAACGAAGCTCAGTTTCACGCCATCGACACCAGTTCGCACGTCCGCCAAGACAATCGCCCAAAGTTAACGCTACACCCAAGCCATAACAACCCCCACGACGACAACTACACAGGGATCGGCGGCGGCGACGGCGAATTCCCGCTATGATCCGCGGAATGACTACATGACAGTCGAGGTCACCCACACGTCCAGCTACGGCCGTCGGTCCGCCGAAGGGACCCGGCGTTGGCAAGGTCATTCCCGTCGACCTGGGGTCACGGGAGCGCACGCTGGAGTCGGAACAGCGTCCCCCGGCTGGCTTCCGCCGCGGCAGCGTCTCCAATGCGCCACGGCCCCAGGGCTCGACCTTGAGCGCGGGGTCATCGACCCCGAGGGAGAGGTGGTCAACGCCACGGTCCACAGACCGGTCTCCAGCCGAGTTCCAGCTGCCGGAGCTGTACAGCGGCTTCAGACCGATGTTGAACTGACGCTGGCGTCTGGACACTACACATCAGAGGAAAACGTAGCTGTAACAGCACGTGGCTTTGATGGACAGTGTTAGTTTTTCCTGAAACAAGCTGCTAGAGATACTCACCATGTTGCAACTTAATCGACGCATTCCCCCCCGCAGAGTTCAGGCGAATTTGTCAAGCTAGCGTCAGCTTAAACTGAAAGCCATCCTGAAATTAAAGGTTTCTCAGAGGCCACAGGACAGGGCCCACAACGCTTCGGATGACGTGAAAAAGGAGAACGCGTGCGACTGCTAATGAGTCCAGGCCGGCTATAATCGGCAATTAGACACACCACCATGTTAAACATCTCGCTCGTTCGACTCGCCATGCGTCGCAGTCAGAGGCAATGTTGCGCAAGACCGGGGAGACTCCCCCAGGTTTATTAGCCCAGGGCATCCAAAAGTATCCAAAATTCACTTGTCCCTTCGGCGTTGACGAGTCTTGTCTCGCCATTTGGAGCAAAGCGATGTTCAGCCTCAGCGTTGTAATCATTTACCTACAGTCCCCGTATTACTCATGAGTTGCTGTTTCTGAATGGGAGCTCTTTCTGTCACATTGGCGAGGTGGAAATTGGAGAAAGAGGGGAAGGCTCCACCACCTCAAACTGACTATGATCGTACACCTCCACACACAAGTATTCCCGAGACACCACTGTGGAGAGCACGACGATCTCACATAGGTGATGTCATCAAGCAGACAAAGCTGATACGTTGATAATAGTGCAGCAGCTCTCTCCCCCGCCCCCGCCCCCCCCCCCCCCACCCCCCCCCCCCCCGGCCGCCGGGCCGCGAAACTTCGGCGAGCGTATTCCAGTGAAACCCGCAGCGCTCGTCTCGGAATCGAGAGCTGCTCGCCGTTGTGAATTGAATTGCATCTGCAGTCAGCTGCTTCCCAGCACTGCTCGTGTTTGATTCCTTTAAGCGCTGGTTGCTCAGTCGCCGATAGGTGGTGTCGGCGTGGACTGGGCGGCAATTGTTAGGTTTAACTCTCCTTGTACTCGTGTTTGCTTATGGTAGTTCACATGTAGTGCATTTGAATAACGAGCACGCAGGTGGCCGATGAGGGTCTCGTGTTAGTTGTTATGTTGTTATTTATTTCATTGTGTGCATTCATACAACAGATATTACTGCTCTTTTTTGATAGCACGTGTGTTTTCTCATGATTGGCTATTTATTAAAATGTTGGAGGAGAGCACAGGGCTGGTTGGGTCGATTTGTGACGTCGGTCCACAGGGCACGCTCCCCCTGAACAGGAATGAATGAAGGACGGTTTTGCGCGTGCTAGCGCGCGGTTGTATCGTTTCCCACAATTGAAAGTGTACTAAGTTCTGTCGTGATAACGCTAAATACATCATTTGTTACCTAACGTTTGTGGGTGTTGAAGGCGCACTCTGCTAACGAACCATGCAGACTCAGAGTAAAGGCACCTTCAGTTTCGAGTATCGCCACGTGAGTAATGAGTACTCGTGCGAAGAGTAATGCACGTGCAGTTTCGAGTATCGCCGCGTGAATAATGAGTACCTCGTACAGAGCAACGCACGTGCAGTTCCAGTAGCATCCAACGTGACAAGGAATCGACAGTGGAAACCAAGGCAAAGAGCCTAATCTGCTAATAAATCTCAATCACAGTGCTGATAAATGGTTCAAACAGTAATACCCCACATTTCAATCGCACCATCTCACTTCATAAATCACGGGTATTCTGTCCGTTGCTTTTCATCCTGGGCTATGGCTGGCCAACTGAACGCGCCGCGCATTTGGCGGGTGCAAACAAAAACAAAACTTTGATGATGCCTAGAAAGTGTTGTATACTTGAAAGTGGAGCAAAATTACGGCAGATGCGGATCCCCGTTTCAACAGGTCAGCACCATGACCTCGCACGAGGCAGATCGGCGGCAGTTCAGCCGCGTCGCTGTGTTGTGTGGTAGCCATTTCGGTTGCTGTGCTCTCGCAGTTCTCTTGCACCAGGATCAATGGAGGCGCTTATGCGCCAGGGGATTACCTGTTGTCAACCGTAGGTTGGCCAGCGTACACGGTATGTTATTCCACTAGTTCTGTTGGTTGTATTTGGCCGAGCTGATGAATAACAGCAGGTGTTCAGCGTTTCTAAAACGCCACAGCTACACGAAAAGTAGCTAAATAGCAACACGGCCAACACGACCGGCCTTAGCGCAAAATCGCCTGTCACCGTAGAGCTAACGGCGGCCAGCCTCTTACAGAGTGATGGCCTAATACTGCGGTCTTGGAAAACACTTACAACTCAATATCGGGACTGTGTGCAATCGTTCGCACTGGTATAAGGCTATCAGCTGCCACTGCATCCTGCCTTTCATGTTATTTTCTCCGGTCGATCCTCCGACAGCGTATCGCTCAATGCTGGCCAGTCACCTGGAGCGACGATTTGTGAAGATAAGGCGCTGGTGTGAAATACTTTTGTTTGTGGGTGAAAGGTGCAGCCTGGCGCTACTGTGCGCTAGTGCAGCCTGGCGCTACTGACTGTGGGAGCGTTCTCAGTCTGCAAAGGATATCTGACATCGGCAGACATGACATTTTGTTTAGAACACCCCGTGACAGCGCGGGTTAATACCCATTGGCCTGCGCCTCGAGTGACAGCCATGCTATGGAGTCTGGGGGCAAAATGTCTCATCAAACTCAAAGACTGCAACTATGTTCATTCAATAACACGATACATGGCTATCAGCTACCAGTACAACATACTGGTCGGATTTTGTTATCAATTTTTTTCTGGCGACCTCTGAAAACTTATCACTAAATTCTCGCGGACAAACGATGTCCAATATGAAATACTTTTACTTTTGTGAGAAAGGTGCAAACGTATGCACACGACGCTTTTATGGGATGACTATCGACCGGCAATGTAAATCTTGCATCGGCCAACTTGATAATAAAACTGCAACCAAATCCGCCAATGGTGCCACCCTGGCAGCTGGTGGCACTAAGCTAGCGCTATCGAATGCCCACAGTTGCAATCCATTTGCCTGCATATGAGTTTTCTCCTGGACCGTTGTAATATGACCATCATTTCAAATGCAGTGCACACTGGATGCCAAGAAGTATCTTTCCCAAATGATGGGTTGAACACAAATGGTCATGCCGCCCGATATGAGATTTACGTTTCTAGCCATAGTGCTCTCACAATGACATCGCGTGAACACAGTTGCACCCTCTGCGTATAAATAAATGCATTTCAAATGAAAAGACGCATCTGTGCAAACCACCGTTTTGGCCGGCACGCAAGCATTGAGTGGTACTCGGGCGGGGGTTGGACCGAATAAAATCGAGATAAAAATCTGGCGAGTCCGTTTTGCTGACATCTGATAGCCCTATACCAGAGGTATTGAGAGAACACATTAAAATCGTGCGGCTTAACCATAAACATACTTTAATGATAAGCACATCCGGGCTCCCTGCTTAAGCTATCACATTATGGATAATTGGGCCGTAGTAATTTTGCGCCGTCATAGGGTATCTGAATAAAATTGGCGATGCAGGCTGATACGAGTCTCACATCGTGGATTTAATGCGCTCCCCAATGACATCCTGTGCGCTAAGTGGGACCTTCCACACAAGCAAACGCTTTTCGAATCGGACGCCGTGGCTGTGAAATCACCACTACGAACTGCCCCAAGCATTGACTAATGCGCTGTTGCTCTGTTAACCAAACAAAATCAAAACCAAAATCAACGAGTGTGCTGTACTGACAGCTGACAGCCTTCAGCAGCGCTGTCA